AGAGGGGTTGGCTGAAGCAGGGAACACACAAGACTGACGTGAGGGCAGGGTCAGCGTGGCACAGCTGCCCGACACGGTGGCCACACCCCTCAGAGATGTTTTTCTGTGGTCTTTGCTCTGCGGTCCTCAACCAGTCACTCCCTCTCCGGGCCCTACTTCCTCCCTAAGAGAACAAAGGATTGTATCCTGGCAGCCTGGGGTCTCTTTTGCCCCCTTTGCTCCCATACCTACCTGTGACCCTGTGGTCTTTCTCCAGCACCAGTCTGAACAGTGGAAGTGGGGTGTAAACAAGCTGTGAAGCCACAAAGCTGAGTCCCCACCCTCGCTCTGAGACGTCTAAATGGCCCTTCTGCTCTCGTTTCACGGGAGCTGCAGCCTGAGGGTCTCAGCACTGCGCTGGGTTTGGGCAAGAAGGGGAAGCTTCTCCAGACTCGGCGCCCGGCTCGCAGACCGGCCGGGTGGGAGAGCTGGCACGGGGTGGGGTCCGCAGCCTCTCACTGCTCCAGTGGGGCCCGCAAGACGTTGCACGCGGGCCCCCGGCGTGTGTGCTAGAGGGACTGGCGGTGGCAGCTTCGTGGGCTAGTGCTGGCCTCCAGTTCTTCACGTGTGGCGACCACAGCCTGCAGGTCTCACTGTGAGGGCTCGTCTTCCGACTTCTAACCCACTGCAGGTTGGGGGCCACGCCCACCCTGAGCCCGAGCTGAGTCGCTGTGAACGCCCAGACCACGCACTGGAGGCCCTGCTCCGCGACAGCAGAGGCAAAGGGACCGGAGACCCTTGCCTCCCAGCCCCCCAAGCCTGTGCGAGCAGACTGCAGGGACTCCACTCCCTTCCTCATTCCGCGGAGTGCTGCTGGGGCTGGTGGCGGGCGCCAGCAGGGGCAGCCATCTCGTGACCCCTGTGCTGAGCTGCTTCCCCGAGGGAGAAGCAGGGCGGGCAGTGCCACAGTCACTGCCTCCTATGGCTTGCCCGTGGCCTTCAGCCTCTGCCTCAGCACAGCTGGAGGCTGAGTGGCAAACCCGAGAGCATCCTTGGCAGGAGGACACTTGCCCCGGGGGGCCAAGGAGGCCTCAGCAGCAGGGCCCCCTGCCCAGCCAGAGGTCCCCTGATAGCCCACCGCAGTCCCGTGGATGAGGAGGCGTTTCTGACCCTCTCAAGGGACCAGCAGCCACCCCGACCCCCGCCCTGGTGCTGGCTGTCGTGTAGCCCTACAGCCTCGGGCTTGGGTAGCTGTCGGCCCTGCAGCCGGGGTTCCTCCTGCCCGTTCAGTGTCAGCCCTCACTGGGGCTTCAACACAGACTCGTTTCTTAAGAACGTTTAAAACGTGAGCACACAGCAAGGTTTGGACGGTAAACTGTTGTGGATATGATTAGATGCATATAGACGTACTGTTTTACGTAGACATGCTAGAGGCCCCCAGGAAAGTCAGGCTCAGGGTACCAGCTCCTGCATTTCAGTGGCAGCTTTTCTCCTTCTCCCACGCTTCAATGAAAAGTAGGGGCAGGAAGTGAGGTGGGGACCTGCAGCCCATCCGCTGCCATTGTCGTGCTGTCCGCTCTTAAATCTGGTACTGGGGAGAAGCAGGAGGGGAGGAAACACCTGTCAGAAAATCCTGGAGGGACTTCCCTGGTGGCACAGTGGTTAAGAATCCGCCTGCCAATGTGGGGGACACGGGTTCAAACCCTGGTCCAGGAGGATCCCACATGCCACGGAGCAACTAAGCCCGTGAGCCACAACTACTGAGCCCGTGTGCCACAACTACTGAGCCTGCGCTCTAGAGCCCGTGAGCCACAACTACTGAGCCTGCAAGCCACAACTGCTGAGTCCGTGTGCCACAACTACTGAAGCCTGCGCGCCCTAGAACCCGTGCTCCACAACAAGAGAAGCCACCACAATGAGAAGCCCGTGCACCACAACGAAGAGTAGCCCCCGCTCCCCGCAACTAGAGAAAGTCCGCGTGCAGCAACAAAGACCCAATGCAGCCAAAAAGAAATAAATTTAAAAAAAAAAAAAGAAAGAAAATCCTGGAGCCACAGGGAGCTCGACTGGGGGATGAGGAGACCCTGGGTTGGTGGTATGTGGGATCTTCAGCTGAGGTAGGGTCAGTGTCCAGGCAGCCAGGGAGCCCTGGCTTCAGGCCCCTCCCCGTTGTCTCCTGCTTTCTGACCCTGACCCTCCCCTCCATAGGAACAGATGTCACTGCTTAAATGTCAGTCCCACGGGGCTCGGGGCTGGGAAGTGCCGAGCCTCCCTCATGGCCAGATGCCAACTTGGAGAGGCCTAGGGCAGGAAAGACTGGCGTCGGCGCCCGAGAGCTTGCTCACGTCACATTGCAGAACATCCAGGAGGATGGGAGACGGATACAAAATGGAAATTTCAAACATGAAAAGCGTTTTATACGAAATGTTCACAGCACAGAAAAAGCAGTTTAACTCAGAACAAAGTGACTTTGGCTCTGACTCTGACAATGAGTGAGCAAAGCACGTGTGACACCTCGCCCACCTGTGCCCACCTGCGCCCCAGGTTCTCACCTGAGCGCCCTGGGCTTGCGCTCTGGGGAAAAAATTCCCTCTGGGTTTACACTTCATCTTCAGAAAGCCACCTCTCATCTTCCGGAACTTTTTTGGAACTGAGGGTTTTTCTCACCCTCCCGAGGTCCCACATTCTTTGTTTCCCAGAATTTCTTCTCTATCTCTTTGATGTTACTTAACAAGAAGGATAACATGAAAGAGGGATTAGTGATCACTAAACCCTGGGGATGATCCCTCTAGCAGTAAACTGGTACATGGTTCTAACCGGTTCTATTATTAGTGCTGTTAACTATGAATTACTAAAATTTAAAACAATATTATATCAAAAGCTGATCTTAGAATAATTCTATTACAGCTCAAACTGTAGAGAACCAGGCAAATGGAACAAAAGTATAAATGTATTTCTTGCTTTCTGTTGACTTACATGGCCGTTTCAAGGGAAAATGGGTGTATTCACATGCCTTGCCATATAGAGGAAGAAAACATATTTTAAATTCTAATTCAGAGGCTGTTGTCCTGCAGCTCTTCACATACTATAGAACAATATCTCCTCTTTGGCAAGTAAGGTAAAGAGGCTAATTTGTGACTGGATATTTGTGGCCAAGAAAGTCAGGTGATACATCACTGCACAGGGGTGGGAGATGGGGGTGGGAGGTGGGCATCTGCTGTTGCCCCGAAGAGACCGAACCCAACCAAGAGCGAGGTCAAATCAATGACCTTGACACACCTGCACAGTCGTACTGCTCCTGACCAATTCATCATCCAACTTTATAAAACTGTTATACGATCACCAGCTTATCAACTGCATAGCAGAATTTCTTTGTCCAATTTTTGTGATAAGAATTAAGGGAACGGTCATAAAGGGTCTAACTGGATAAGCACATGTGCAGAGACATTTTTCCAAAATAATTAACACTGCACAGTTCTGTGAAAGGAAAAGTGTACACTGAAATGTAACACACCATTTAAAACTTGAAAATCAATAGTATTAACACTTGTCAACATTTTCTAAGATGCAAGCCACGTTTTAGATTTAAAACGTTTGGTAGATACTAACCAAACTTTAGTACTTAGTAGCTAAAATAATCAAGTATTTTTTAACCAGGGACAAATATAGTTTTGGTATGCAATTAATTATGTGAATTACTTGAAATTTGAAAATGAGGACTTAAATATTGAAAAATTCTTCATAAATATAGGGTACATAAAATGTATTTTTATTTTGTGGAAATGAAAGGATATTAAAACATACCTTGAATGCATCCAACCTTTTTCAAATGTTCACTCATTTACTTCATCAGAAAAAATTGAATATTGTAGACTAATATGGCCTAACATAGCATAAAATTGTCTGTGATTTCTAGATGTGCCCACTGTGTCCAGCAGAGCAAACCCAGGCAGAACGGCTGATTTCAGAAGGCTGTGAATGTCTTGATGCCCCATTTTTGTTCTAAATTCTCTATACTTACATGCAATTTGAGTGTGTCATTTTTTATATATAAATTTTTACTTTAGCTGCTAATATCAACTATTCACATGCAGTCTAGTGCATATAAAATATAATGACCAAGGGACTTCCCTGGTGGTGCAGTGGTTAAGAATCTGCCCGCCAATGCAGGGGACATGGGTTCGAGCCCTGGGCCAGGAAGGTCCCATATGCCGTGGAGCAACTAAGCCCAGGTGCCACAACTACTGAGCCTGCGCTCTAGAGCCCGTGAGCCACAACTACTGAGCCCACGTGCCACAACTACTGAAGCCCGTGCTCCTAGAGCCTGTGCTTCACAACAAGAGAAGCCACTGCAATGAGAAGCCCGCGCACTGCAACAAACGGCAGCCCTTGCTCACCACAACTAGAGAAAGCCCATGCGCAGCAATGAAGACCCAACGCAGCCAAAAATAAAATAAATATATAAATTTAAAAATGTATATAATGACCAAACAAAATGTTGTGAAATTCAGTGAATAGCTCTGAAATATTTTCATGCACTTAATTATAAACATGATAACTACCTGTGGGTTATTAAAAGATGCCTTCCTAGTCTCTCTTCCCAAAGGACACAGATTAAAACAATTACCAAAAACTGGTGAATGATTTTACTCTCTAGAAATCTGTAAATGTGAGACTCTTTCCATTCTTATTGTGAGGACTGATTTTTAAAGCTATCTTACTGATGGCTTTCAGGAGTCTAGTGCTACATTATGATTTCTAACAAATGCAGAAGTATCATATGACAAACAACTTTGAATGTTCCTACTGTATACATGAAAATACTAATGTGGCTGTGAATTACAATGAAACAATCTATGAATCATTTTTTTATAATTTGGGCATCCAACAGAATGTAAAAAATTTATTATTCCCATATAATTTTAATTATGAGTAATATTCATGATGAAATATTTTAATTCTTTAAGTGTAATAGTACACTATTGATCTTTATTTTATTTATGTATAACATATATAATTTGTTTATTTATATATGTGTACGTATATATCTTAAAGAACATAACGTATATGTATATATATCAGACACAAACACGCTGAGTGAAATATTTAGGTGAATTATGTTTTTTTGTTTGTTTTTTTGGCCACACCACATGGCTTGTGGGATCCTAGTTCCCTGACCAGGGGTCAAACCTGGGCCCTGGCAGTGAAAGTGTGGAGTCCTAACCACTGGACCACCAGGGAATTCCCTAGATGAATTAAAACAAGGAAAGCTGTGAAACAAAAAATAGCTCTCAAAATAGAATCAAATCTTTAGCCATCACCCACATTTTATACTAACATTTTAACTGAAGAATTTCTCATGTGTTTTTACGATATTTAATTAAGCTTATTTCTATCCAGGCAACGTAATTGTAAACCTTCTTCAGAAGAGCAATCTCTCAAATTAACATCGTACATTGCACTGACACTAGAATACAACTTGTAGGTCATGGCATGACAGGAAAGGTTTTTTTGGAAAACAAAGATTAAAGCTAGTGTATTTTCCAAGTAGTCATAAAGCTATAAGCCATATTTATCAGTTCATTTTGTCCCATGTATTAATTTCTGTTGATCTGGATGAAGTCATCAGGTTTTCCACTAGAGTTTTGTCATCAGGTTTTCCATTAGAGTTTTGTCATTAAAGCAGTTTATTTGAACTGCTACCTAGTTCAGTGGTATTATCTAGAGGCTATCAGAAACTTATATTTGTTTAAAAAAAATCTGTTTTATGAGTCTTCTTGAAGATCTTCATTTTGTAAAAGCATCAGTGTAAAATAATGATTGTCTTTAAAGGACAAAACTTAAAATAGCATGGTTAAAGATTGGAGTACAATGCAATTGGCAAGAAACTTGGATATTTCTGTGACATATAACATTGTAGGATAATAACTAGACTTATGACTGATAACATTATATCAGGGCATATCAGATGTTAGGAATTCCATATAAAGTTTGGGATATCTATATTAATGGCATTTATCCATATACTGTAACCTAAGGTTCATCTCCAGTCTCTTGACAATGCTTCTCAAGTATTTTAACATAACAAATAAATTTAATGAGTTTAGCATTTCTCTCTGAGATGTTTCAGGGTTCCTTCAAAGCATCCCAGAGTCAGTTGGAGGCTAAAAGTTAGATTTTGATATTTGGGAAATTTGTTAAAAATATCAAAAAGGTTTTAAAACACAACAGGATCATAGGTCTCTATGAAGCAATACTTATTCGTTTAACCAAAATCACAAAAAGATTTAAAAAACAAATACAGGTCACTTAAGGGGACAGAAACTCACACAATCTGTTATCAAAAAGGAGCACTCTAAGAAACTTCGTTCAAATTCCAGTCTTGTACAACAACAAAATCCATTTACTTAACTTCATTCTAAATTTAATTAATCCTGATCATGCATAAAACCTTTTTTTTCCCCCTTCAGGGTTCCTTTCCACAATCTTTCATCACTTTCTGTTTCCATATTAGTTCATCCCTTATTTTCCCATCCAAAACCAACCAGCTCTAAGACATACTTCCTTTTTTTCCCCCAATAAAGTGTAATTCCATTCCTCATACCTTCTTTACTGAAAACATGCATTCTACTTTCCTACTGTATACTAAAATGCTTCCTACTGAAGAGGGATGTAGAGGGGTTTAGGGTCCCTCCTCTTGCTGGCTGTCATGTCAGGTCTCTGTCCACTTGTCCTGGGGGGTTGATCCAAAGGTCCCATGTAGAATGAAGTCATTTCTTGAGTGTTGGTGAGCTGATATCCTTGGCTGAGGACCATCTGAAATGTCATTGCCTGAAGGCAAGAGGAGGGAAATTTAGTTAGGAAGTTTAGTAGGCAAGGCCAGAACAGGAGCAAAAGGAAGATGGAAGCATGGGGCCCCAGAAAAGGAAGGAGCCAGGACAGCCAAGACCATGTTTTTTTCGTTTGTTTGTTTTGTTTTTTTTTTAGTGAAACTCTTGGGAGGCTCTATCCTTGAGGCTGGTTTTGTGATTGGAACAAGTATTGGTAAACAGCCTCGGGGATCTGGACAGAAGGGCACTTGTGTACAACATAGTCTAAGTTGGCTGAGGTTAAAGCCTATCCCCAAGGTGTTGTCAGATAGGCGGATCCACTTCCCCCAACAGATTTGTCAAGGCATAGCCAACAGTAACTGGAATATGTAGAACTGGTTGCCACAAGGAAGTGCTGTGCCTGCTTGAGAACCCCCTGGTAGGGGTTTGTATCAGTGAACTCGGGACTGGCAGGAACTGAGAAGCAAGGCAAAAGTTAAAAATGACAATTTGGGGTCTATTCTTGAGGAAGACAGAGAAGTCAAATTACAAATATGAGAAGTCCTATTGTCAGGCAGCAGCCCAGTACTGGAGCCCAGCTATGTTGTGTTAAGAGGGTTTTAAGAGGAGCTACTTACCTGTTTTTTTTTTTTTTTTTTTTTTTTGCGGTACGCGGGCCTCTCACCGCTGTGGCCTCTCCCGTCGCGGAGCACAGGCTCCGGACGCGCAGGCTCAGCGGCCATGGCTCACGGGCCCAGCCGCTCCGCGGCATGTGGGATCTTCCCGGACCGGGGCACGAACCCGTGTCCCCTGCATCGGCAGGCGGACTCTCAACCACTGCGCCACCAGGGAAGCCCACCTGTTTGTTTTTTAAAGAGGAGCCTCACGTTCTCTAGGGCCTTACAAGTGTAGTTGTCTGGAGGATCCTTGGAGGGCTTCTCCTCAGCAGTTGCAACCCGTGGCTTGACCCTGTGTGATGGATCCAGCTAGCAATGCCAGGTACCTTGATAGGGGTTTTTTGGTCTCCGGGCAGTTTGTCTTCCAGTGTCCTGGTTTCCCGCAGCGATGCCAGTTGCCGGGGGAGTTGGGGTGGTGGTGAGGGGGAAGCCTCCTGGGGGCAACCAGGAGTTCGCTGCTGGACCTGTAATGCTGCCACTAGTTGGGCCTGCCTCTTAGCCTTGCGTTTTTCTTTCTCTTTTCCCTCTCCTCCTCTCTCTCCTGGTTGTAGAAGACAGAGGAGGCAGCCCTAAGGAGTTCTGAGACAGGAGTGCTAGGTCCTAGGGCCACCGTTTGTATTTTCCTCCTTATGTCTGGGGCAGCTTGAGTGTTGCAACGGTCATTTAAAACCAGTTTCCCTGCCTCTGAGTCTGGGTCTAAGTGTTTTATAAAGACTTCCCTCAGCCGCTCACAGAAGGCAGTGGGATTTTCCTGTCATCCTTGCCCATAATGAACAGGTTTTAGTTTACATTGTTTCTTTCCCTCAACCAGGCAGAAGAGGGAGTTGTCCCTGGCTGCCAGCCCTACTGAAGTATTATAGTCCCAATTGGGTTCCGTCTGGGGAACGGCCAGCCACAGTTCCCCTGGGAAATTGTTGGGGGTTTGTCACGTGGTAGCCGTCTCCCAGCTGAGCGGTGGCTTCGTATATGGTTGTTCTTTCTGACTGAGAGAGTGTCCGGGCAAGGATGATATAAACATCCCTCCAAGTTAACTCAAAGGTCATAGTTAGATGCCTAAACTTATCTAGATTTTTTTCAGGGTCATCTGAAAACTTTCCTAGATCTTGTTTTATCTGACTGAGACCCTGCATAGAAACAGGAACTTTGATCCTTATGGGAAATTCGGAGGGCCCTATTACCTCCTGAAGTGGGCAACGTTTTGAGTTATGGGGCCCCGGGTAAGGGGCCAAAGCTTCGGCGCGGGGTCGGGGCGGGGGGGCGTCCAGCGTTGGGTACAGTGGGGAAGAGGCCGTTTGTGTAAGAGGCTCCTTCTTTTCCCCAGAAGAGGGCGCCAATGGACAAGGCTTATTGTCGGCTAAGGCTTCGTATCACCAGGAGAGGGGGAGGAGGTTTGGTAAGCAAATTAAGCATTGCCAAGTCAGCAGAGTCTACCCAGCAAGTCCTGTAAAGTTCGGGGTTTTCCCTCAAGGCAAAGACGACTTGGACATAAGGGACCTCGCTCCACTTTCGACAAAAAAGGTCACGCTGCAGAATGGTATTGGAGTTTAAACTCCCATATTCAGGCCAAATTTCTCCCCCTCCTAGCTTGTACTGTGGACATGCCATGTTGCAAAAGAAAATTAATTGCTTCTTCCCCAAGGTTTGGGGATCAAACTTAGCCCAATTCTTTAGGATACATCCTAAGGGTGAATCTTGAGGATGGATGGTCAGTTGCCCATCTGATGAAGCTGTTGAGAACTCAAGGGTCTCCAGTTTCTGGAGGGACCAGGCAGAGAGAAAAGAAAGTGTTTTAATTTTACCCACAGGTGTAAATTACCATATTGTAAACCATAAGTAGCTTGAGCAGAAGGGCTTCTCTATATCTTGGCAGCAATCTGAGTCACGGCACCAAAACGTTATAGGCAGAACAGCAATTCCTCAGGGCTTGTCCTCCCAAAGGAAAGCATTCAATCAAGAGACATATAGAAGTTTTAAGCAGCAAGTGTTTTATTAAGCAAAGTGAAAGTACACTCCGGAGAGAGAGAAGGGGAGCAGACTGTCTGGAAACCAGAAGCAGCCTCTATTAGTTTTAATTACATATTTAAATTAGAATCCTCAGCTCTTAAAAACCTGAAATTCTAGTGAAAACTAAGAAATAAGCAATTATGAACTTTTACATTAGGATTCTGTAGATTGGTGAACATAAATGTCAGTGATAATTTCGAAAAACATTTGTTTTCTTATCGACAACATCTCAGTGCGGCACCAAACATATTCATTAATAGTCCTAAATACCTTTAGTTTCTCTGTTTAGTAACTGATGTCTTAGTATCTTATTTTTTGTGTGAATAACCTAGCTATTCAATAAACTTCCATCACTTAACTTTTTTTTTTTTAATTTATTTTTGGCTGTGTTGGGTCTTTGTTGCTGCACGCGAGCTTTCTCTAATTGCGGCGAGCGGGGGCTTCTCTTTGTTGCAGTGAGTGGGCTTCTCATTGTGGTGGCCTCTCTTTGTTGCAGAGCATGGGCTCTAGGAGCACGGGCTCAGTGTAAATGTTTTTTTCTTCAGCCCTTTAAATATATATTTTTATATATATATTTAAACTGGGGTAAATAGAGTGGACTTGTTTGGCTTTTAATGTTGAGGACCAGTAGGGATGCCTTTTGGCCCATTTAACCTTAGGTAGGGTAATATCAAAACCTTGTTTTTTAATCACATAAATGTCTGTTTTATTTATCCCATTTTAAATAACCATCTAAAGATTTCTTTATTCATTTGAGAGAAGTCCTTTTTAAAATTTCTATCTTGCTGGAAAAAGTATCTAGACTTTTCTTACAGGGTTTTTTTCCTGGTAACATTAATTATTCTAATGTTTTTATTAGCATTTGTAAGACCCACTGAGGGGAAGCAAAGACCACAAATAAGGCTTCCCAAACCGGTTTTTCTTGGTTTTAAACTAAAGATGTTCTTTTTAAAAAAATTTAAAAAGTATATTTATTTATTATTTGTTTTCTTTATTTTGGCATGTGGGCTCACCTTGGGGAGTGGCTGTAGAGTCTGATGCTGCTAGACGGCAGGTGTTCTTCGCTTCCTTCCCGAGTGCCCTCAGGGCTCACTGCTCACCTTTGGAGGGCTGCAATTGCTATTGACTATGACATCATTTATTTACTGATATGGCAGGCAATATTTTATTTCTCAAGTAAAAATAATGTTAATGAAGTGGCTCATAGGAAAGGGAGTCTTGTAAGTTTGGTGGAGTGCTCTTCTCAGATCTTGGAGTCGGGTAAACTTTAAGCAATTGGAAAAAGCATTTTCCCTCAATATAAATGATGATATCAGTTTTAAAACCAGAACACTGGGCCTTGAGCCAGTACTAAAATTGCTGAACCTTAGATTCACACAATAAACCAGGATTCCAAAAGGGGGTGGGAAGGGTCCCAGGTAGTAGGTACCTCCCCCTGGACTTTAGCAGAATCAAATACAAGTTGTCTCTGGAAGAAAATGTTCCCCAATTCATTCAGTCAGGAGTCCTCCAGCTTAAAATTAAACACATGTTATTGACAGTTCACAAACAAAGATCACCAAACCCACATGAAAACGAAGCCATTATGAGGGAAAAGATCACCCAAATGATAAGCAACAGATTTAGGCCCAAAATACACCAGATATTAGAATGATCAGATACAGACTATAAAAGGATTAGATGAAAGGTTTAAATAAATAAATTAGGGAATCACAAAAGTAAATAAGCAAAAAGAGACTATAAAAATGACCAGGCAGGGCTTCCCTGGTGGCGCAGTGGTTGAGAGTCCGCCTGCCGATGCAGGGGACACGGGATCGTGCCCCAGTCTGGGAAGATCCCACATGCCGCGGAGCGGCTGGGCCCGTGAGCCATGGCCGCTGAGCCTGCGTGTCCAGAGCCTGTGCTCCACAACAGGAGAGGCCACAGCAGTGAGAGGCCCGCGTACCGCAAAAAAACAAACAAACAAACAAACAAACAAAAACAGACCCAAAGAATGTACAGAGAATGCAGCATAGAGGTTGGGAATATGAACTAGCAGATATTGGGCACAGAGACAAAATGAGACAGTGCAATATTCACCTCAAAAGGAATTCCCAAAGGAAAAACAGAAACTGGGAAAGAGGAAATATTCCAAGGTAAAACAACTGAGAAGTGATGAAAGACGTGAATTTCAGGAATCATAACATTTCAACAAAAGGATAAAGGCATGATATCCCACAGGAAGTTAAAGAGAAAGATATATTACCCATAAAGTAATGACAATTAAACCGACAGATTTCTTAACAGCAATATTAGAAGCCATAAGACGGTAAAACAGTTTCTTTAAAGCACTGAGAGAAAATGACTGTCAACCAAGAATTTTATACCTATCCAAAGAGTCATCTAAGATTGGAGACAGAATTAACACGTAGAAAGATACAAAAGGCCCTTGCTCCCATGAACCTGGACACTCATTATACTTTTCTATAGGGCCAGCGGAGACATATGGATACAAGGAAGTTTTGAGGAATTCAGTTTCAGAGAGTAGCAAGCTCTCTATAGGTTATCAGAGAACTGTGGCAGATTCTATACTTGGGGACAGGTGTCTGTTCTGGATATGGTCAGTCAGAGGAGAAGGTGCCATAAGCCAGAGGGACTTAACAAGAATGAGGAGAAATTAACCAAGTTTAGACATGGGTGAGGACTGATGGGAAAAGCTGGAATCTAGAAGAGTCCCTAACAGGAATAAATGGTTTACCCAACAGGTTTTCATGGCATTCTTCTGGAATTTTGCCAAGAAAGTGCAGCGGTAAAAGAGTGGTGTTTCAGGGGTCCCCAAGGCCACACGCACACTCGGTAATTCAGTAGGGGGACTCGCAAGACTTGGCACAGTTGTACTCATGGCTAAGATGGATTATAGCAACACAGCAGGGACACACAGCAGATCAGTGAGGAAAGAGAAAGAGGCAGGTGCTGGAGGAGCCTGTGTGCAGGGTACCTGTGCTCTCTCCCTCCTATGAGGGGCCACACAGAGTACACTCCACCCCAGCAAAGAGAATGCAGCAACTTCTGTTTGATGTTTCTGCCCAGGAAAGACCAGTAGAGACTCAGCATGCAAGATGTGTCATGGAGGCTGGTCACACAGCAGCTTCCAAAAGGAAAGCAGGTGTCCACCATACACCATGCTGTTTATACAGTACAGGCAGACCTCGTTTTATTGTGCTTTGCTTTACAGCCCCTCACAGATACTGTGTTTTTCACAAATTGAAGCTTTGTGGCAACGCTGTATCGTGCAAGTCTACTGGTGCCATTTCTCCAACAGCATTTGCTCACATTGGGTCTGTGTCACATTTTGGTAATTCTCGCAATGTTTCAAACTTTTTCATTATTATTATATTTGTTATGGTGATCTTTGATCAGTGATCTTTGATGTGATTATTGCAAAAAATTACGATTTGCTGAAGGCTCAGATGATGGCTGGCATTTTTTGGCAATAAAGGATTTTTAAATTAAAGTATGTACATTGTTTTTTGAGACATAATGCCACTGCACACTTAATAGACTACAGTAGAGAGTAAACATAACTTTCATACGCACTGAAAACCAAAAAATTCGTGTTTTGGTCTCGCTTCACTGCAATGCTTGCCTTAGTGAGGTGGTCTGGCACCTCGGAGAAGGCCTCTGTGGGCCCACTGGCACCCTTTTATCAGTCAGGGAGCCTGTCACGGCAGTGCAGCGAACTCTCCACAAGCTGACTTGCCAGAGGCCTGCCTTGCAAACACCCTTTCAAAGACAGCAGTCTCAGGCCTACTATGTTAACCTTTTTGTTTTTTTCAACAGGTGGAAAGAGAAAATTTGCACAGTCCTACATATTTTTGCAATGTTTGGATTCCAAGAGTCTTCCAGAGTTGAATACACAGGTGAACCAAAATTAACTGAAACTGCAGTCCAACTCCCTCTCAGTTCAAATACTGAAAAGATCAAAAGGCAGTGTAAGTGGAAGCAGCTACGGGTGGGCTAATCATAGGTGAACCTAAGCTAATTTAAATTGTGAACTCACTGTAATTCAGCTCAACTCTAGAAAAAACCTGAATGATAAACCTCCACTCTAATTTCTAAAGGAAAAAGTTTGTATGCTCTGGAAAATGAACAAAACAAAAAATGGCACATTAGGGGCTTCCCTGGTGGCACGGTGGTTAAGAATCCACCTGCCAATGCAGGGGACACGGGCTTGAGCCCTGGCCAGGGAAGATCCCACAAGCTGCGGAGCAACTAAGCCCCTGTGCCATAACCACTGAGCCCGTGCTCTAGAGCCCGTGAGCCACAACTCCTGAAGCCCGCGTGCCTAGAGCCCGTGCTCCGCAACAAGAGAAGCCACTGCAATCAGAAACCCGCACACTGCAACGAAGAGTAGCCCCTGCTTGCCGCAACTAGAGAAAGTCCGCACACAGCAATGAAGACCCAAGGCAGCCAAAATTAATTAATTAATTAATTAATTTAAAAATGGCACATTAGTTTCCACTGTGCCATTTCAAAAAAAAAATTAGACTGTGGCTGCACAAGTAGATGATTGCAGAACCCTCTGAACTTACTAAAAAGTATTAAATTGTTCACTTTAAATGCGCGAATTGTATGAAACCACAATTGAGGAATAAATAAATAAGTTACTCACCTGGGCCTTGGTCATTTTTTGCTACTCTTGGGAAACGGCCAGCAAATCTAGGCTCTGCCCTATCGTGTGAATCTTCTGGACTCTGTCATAGTGCTCAAGTTAGAGGGCTCTGGCCAGGACTCTTCACCAAGGATGAATCCCTGGTCCTGGGCGTCCTCCATCTCACATAAGCCGATTAGTTCATGGAAACTGGAATCTGTTGAATCAGTAGCAAATTAAATTCTCTTTAGTTGAGGCATACTCTTTGGCATCTAAATCTCCCTATCTTGCTGGAAACTGACCTTCATTTAAAGCCCAGACTGGGTTTTCTATAGACTCTAAACAGAGCTAACAAGGACTGGAGTATGCAGAGGGTACCCCACAGCATTAATAGCAGTGCCTTTTTTTTTTTAATTTTTGGCTGTGTTGGGTCTTCGTTGCTGAGAGCAGGCTTTCTCTAGTTGCGTCGAGCGGGGGCTACTCTTCGTTGTGGTGCGCGGGCTTCTCATTGCGGTGGCTTATCTTGTTGCAGAGCATGGGCTCTAGGCACATCGGCTTCAGTAGTTGTGGCATGTGGGCTCAGTAGTTGTGGCGCACGGGCTTAGTTGCTCCACGGCCTGTGGGATCTTTCTGGACCAGGGCTCGAACCCGTGTCCCCTGCACTGGCAGGCGGATTCTTAACCACTGCACCACCAGGGAAGTCCCAGTAGCAGTGTTTAACCCAAGAGCTCTGCAAAAACTCCAAAAAGCCCTGTGAATTCCATGATCATCTGTGAGACTTAACAGGTCCTCTACAAATATCTCAAGACCCCTTGGTACAAAACATTTAATTAGGTGCTTGGGAGTGAATGTGTTTCAGGCAAAGAACATGAGATATGGAATAAAACAAATAAGGTTCCGTCTGAGCTTTGTCTCTTGCTGGCCATGTGACTTTAAGCAAGGCACTTCACTTCACTAAGCCTGGTGTGTTTTGTTTTGTTTTAAATGGTGATGGAAACACAGACCACGTGGGATGCTTACAAGAATTAAAGGTGATATGGACACGAAAGTGCCCACTAAGGACCCTTAAGATAAGAAGTGGAAAACAGAATGATTATGAGAAGGGTTTCTGGAGCTTGAATGTGTACATCAGAATCTTGTCTTTGCCTTGGAGTCCCCATCAACTCTTCAGCTCGAAGGGGCCCACATTCCCTTCTTTCTGTGCTGGAGAGGATTCGGGCCCTCTGGCCTGGCCTGTCCTTACGTGGGAGCAAGAGAAGAAGCACGGTCCAAACACAGGACTGCACGTGGGTGGAGGGAGGGGTGAGCGCAAGTGTGCATGGTCTCTGAAAGGCTGCCTCTGAATTCCAGAACCCTTGTCTCACACAAGCTTCCACAGCACAGCACTCTGGAAGGTTGGAAGAATGTGATTTTCTTCACAAGGGTGGGTGTCCTGGAAAATTGGGCATTTTCCATCATTCTCTCTGAAAGTAAGTGAGGAAGAGAGACAAAGAATGTGTGTGTGTGTGTAACATATAGCAAATGGGAAAGGAGAACATCAATTTCACTTTTAAAGGCATGAATAAAAGAGGAAATTGAATCCAACAATTCATTAAGTGAATAATTTGCATCAGTTTCTCCTCAAAATACAACAGAGTTCATTTTAACCTCATAATGTTCTTGGGTGTTCTAAATTAGTTAATACGTGTAAAAAGCTTAGAACTGAGACTGGCACACAAACATTTTATAAATGCTAGTTAGTGCTCTTATCATTGCATAATACGATTATAGAGAAATCAGAAAATACATGTAAGCTAAATAAAGAAACAATTACCCATAATCCCGCTACTTCAAGGTAAGTAGTTTCTCAAAGGGTGGTAGAAACAAAAACGTGATCTCATAGTCTTTCTAACTTTGTGAACTGGCTTTAATGCTATATAGTGAAAACATATTTTTATATACATATTTTTTTTCAGTCCAATAAATATACTCAGAGACCTGTTGTTTTGGCCTATCAGAGGCCACCCAATCCGTCTCAGTCACTAACCCCCAAATGATACCTAACCCCTCACCCTGAGCCCCTGCCATGCATTACCTCCCCAGGTCCCCCGGCCATCAGCTCCCAGAAGGTCTCCCTAAACATGAGCTGCCGAGGCCCTTCAATGATTCACGCCCACAGGCTCCCCCCACCCCTTTCTCTCCATAGTCCATTCACTAGCCCCCAGACCAACCAACATGCGATATCCAGGTGTCCCATGTCTCCAATCACTGATTCGAGGCCACCCAATCATTACCCTCAAAGACCCCTCGCTCAATCCCACACCCTGGGCAAACACTCGTAAGGCCCTCATCACTTACTCCACCAAGGCCGCCCCCAACCAGCCCTGCGACTCCCACTCAGACCCACGTGGCCCATCCCGGCCCTCCCACAGCCCTACCTCGTACACCAACAGCTCCCATCACCGACTCTCAAAATCATCCACCCCCCCAGGCTTCTTCATGTTTTTGTAAAAATTATTTATTTATTTGTTTGTTATTAGTATTTTTTTTAATTTTATTTATTTATTTATTTTTGGCTGTGTTGGGTCTTCTTTTCTGTGCGAGGGCTTTCTCTAGTTGCGGCAAGCGGGGGCCACTCTTAATCGCAGTGCGCAGGCCTCTCATTATTGCGGCCTCTCTTGTTGCAGAGCACAGGCTCCAGACGCGCAGGCTCAGTAGTTGTGGCTCACGGGCCCTGTTGCTCCACGGAATGTGGGATCCTCCCAGACCAGGGCTCGAACCCGTGTCCCCTGCACTAGCAGGCAGACCCTCAACCACTGCGCCACCTGGGAAGTCCTATTATTATTATTATTATTACTTGGCTGCTTCAGGTCTTAGTTGCAGCACGCGGGATCTTCTTTGAGGCACGCAGGATCTTTCATTGTGGCGCTCGGGCTTCTCTCCAGGTGTGGCGCGTGCCAGTTTTCTCTCTCTAGTTGTGGCGTGTGGGCTTAGTTGCCCCGCGGCATGTGGGATCTTAGTTCCTCGACCAGGGATGAGATAAGCTTCCTCCACGAGCCTATAATTTACACACACCGCACTCCCCGCCCCAGCACTGACCCCCATAGGGCCCCCAACCCACTCGTCCCTACGGCACAGTAATAAGCTACTGAGAAAAATTCTCCCCCCAACAATGAGATCCGGTCTCCCCATTCACAGAGCTCTCACAAACCCCAGCCATCCCCAAACCATACAGAACCCCAATCATTCACCCCACAAACATTAAAGGTCATGGTTCCTCCAAACGGCAAGTTCGTCGCCCTCTGCCGACCCCAGCAGGCACCCAGTTTCTGCTCTCCACACAGGCCGCCGTCACCGACCTCCAGAAGGCACCCCAGGTCCAGGTGCCGCATCACTGACGCCTTCGGACCGACTCAGATAACCTTCAAGCACCAGTACTGCGCACCCCACATCATTTATCACTACAGCCGTCCAGTCACTGTCTGCGGACCCACGGATCCCCACACACCGGCCCTCGCACGTCCGCAATCACTTAAAACCCCTTCCCCACGCCAGCTCGTCCCAATCACCCACCCCCGCAGCCCCGGTACTCGCCTCCCCAAGCCCGCACGGCGCCCGACGCAGCTGTCACGCTCCAGGCCCGCGACCTGCGGGCCCGAATCACCCAGTCTCCGCAGTCCTCAGCCACTCACCCCAAGAACCCCCGGATCCGACCCTCACTGGCCGCCTCACTCGGCCGCACGGCTATGCTGCGGGCCCGCAGCGGGACCCCCGCAAACGCGGACGCCGCCCCCCACACCTGACCTCTCCCCCGGGGCGCGACGCTGACGCCGCAGGGCCGCGCAAGTGTCCGCTCAGAACTACATTTCCCATAGCGCTGCTCGCTCTAGAACTACATTTCGCAGAGGGCTCCGCGGCGCATCTGGCCGGGAGCTCCCACCGCCTCCTCTGCGCGGGTGGGCGGGCTGCGATGATGGATGTCTGGACCTGGCGTCAGCCCGTCTGACCCCCCTGGCGTCAGACGCCGGGGGTTTTGAGATGGAGCTGACCTGAAGCACAGAGAGTGACGGTGGTGAGGGGAAACTAAGAGGAAACACCCTCCTAAGTGTATTGTTGCAAGAATTTTAGATCACATAGTGCAAAGTGGAGTATCCCACTACTTTAACAGGAAAACGTGGAAATAAATGAATTAGGCAGTAAAGACATTGGGAAGAAACAAAATAGACGTCTGGGAAGCAGAAGAAATAAATGTGTGAAAGAAAGATATTGCCTGCCATAACAGTAAACAAAGGATGTTGCTGCCATCAAGCCATCACATTGCAGCTGCCCCCATGGTGAGCCCTGAGGGAACTCAGGCTAGAAACAGGATGCCCCCCATCTAGCAGTCACCTGCTGCAGCCACCCCCCACCCCTGACAGTGCACCCTGAGGGGACTCAGGATGGGAAAACACAGGACACTGGCCCCAGAGAGCTGAGGTGCACATTAAAGGAATGACTTCAGTGACCTCAGACTCTTGCATCTTCCCATACATAGAAAAGCACTAAATCCCTTAACTTGAAGTATCTGGTTTTCTTTAATCAACACTAATCTTTTGATGTTCCATCTACCTGGTCTTTGTTGCAAAAACTCCTATGTATCCTGGCGCCCCCCACCTCGCCTCTTCAGAGCAGTCTCTCACAGTTATCTGACATGCTGTGTCTTGGGCTTGAAGTCCTCAATGTCCACCAAATAAAACATAACTCTCAACTTTTAGGTTGTGCATTTTTTTCAGTCGACGATGCAGCACATAAATCAGTCCTTATGTATCACATAAATCTAGTTCTTTGAAAATTTAGCAGCAACATGGATGGACCTAGAGATTATCATTCTAAGTGAAGTAGTCAGACAGAGAAAGACAAACATCATATATCACTCATATGTGGAATCTAAAAAATGATACAAATAAACTTATTTACAAAACAGAAACAGACTCACAGACATAGAAAACAAACTTATGGTTACCAAAGAGGAAAGATGGGGGGGGGATAAATTAGGAGTTGAAGGGCTTGTTAAAATTCCCCTGAGCCCACCCCCTGGAGAGTCTGAAATAGTGGGAAGCCTGAAATCTGCATTGTCAAAAGCACCCCACGGGCTTCCCTGGTGGCGCAGTGGTTGAGAGTCTGCCTGCCGATGCAGGGGACACGGGTTCGTGCCCCGGTCCGGGAAGATCCCACATGCCGCGGAGTGGCTGGGCCCGTGAGCCATGGCCGCTGAGCCTGTGCATCCGGAGCCTGTACTCCGCAACGGGAGAGGCGACAACAGTGAGAGGCCCGCGTACCGCAAAAAAAAATAATAATAACAAAAGAAAGAAAACATTGTTATCAGCTATTCATTAGCCCCAGTACATCAGTCCCACTCCCTTTAGCCATCCCTCCCAGCGCAAGGAGAGGCGGCTCTAATTCATCCTGCGTCTTTCTACTCAGAGCATCTATAGCTTTACTACACAGACTA